AAAAAAAAAAAAAAAAAAAAAAAAAAAAAAGACAAAAATGCCAGGTATGGGGAGGTACACCTATAATCCCAGCACTGGGGAGACAGACAGGAGGAAGGTGAGTTCAAGCCCAGCCTGGACACAGACCTTGATTTAAAAAGAAAAATGAGGGCTAGAGTGGCACCATGTCTGCCTGGCAAGCACAAGATCCTGAGTTCAATTCCTGGTACCAAAAAAACAGTAATGATACATTTATGTAAAGAGTGTCCATGTACAATTTGGTACTTAAGTTTTTGTTTCACTTACATAAGTTATCCTTTTTAATCTTAAAGACTTTTAGGAAGACAAGCTTGGCATGTATAGCATGTGTGTTCCTAAATACATAAACATAATTTCAGATTATTTTATGGAAATGAGATAATGTCTTCTGGGCTGCACTGTATCTCCAACTCCCTTTAGAAGTTTAGTCATGATTTGAAGAGTTTCTTATTCTGTGCCACTGACCTCCACTGATAACAGAGTGCTACCATGATAGCAGTTTAATTTTTTTTTCCTTTTGCAGCGCTGGGGATTGAACCTAGGTCTTCAGATATGCTAGGCAAATGCTCTACCACTGAGCTACAGCCCCAGCCTGAGGCACTCATGTTTTTAACTGGATGTCATTCTTTTTTTTTTTTTTTTGAGACAGAGTCTCACTATGCAGTTCAAGGGCCTTGAACTCACTTGGTAGCCCAGGCTGGTCTCGAACTTGCAACAATCTTCCTGCCTCAGCCTCCCCAGTGCTGGGATTACAGGCATGCGCCACCACGACTGGCAAGATGTCATTCCTGATGAAGGCATTTTGACACAAAAGGATAGGAGGTGGCCTGGCTGTGGTTGCAGAGTCAGCTGACCAGGGCTGGAGAGGGCGTGGGGGTGGGTGGGAGAGCAGTGCTCCCTGTCAGGCACAGTTTGAGGCAAAGGCTACAGCAGAAAACTAAAAGCCTCTGTGTCCAGTGGGACTCAAATTCCAGTGCAGAGACACACATTTGTCAGGTGAGCAGCGCAGAGAAGAGTAACAAGCAGGGAGAAGTACAGGTGGACAGGAGCATCACCCCGCCAGAGTCCGGACTGAGGGGTGAAGGCAGTTGGCCCGGATGGTGAGAAGCACCCACTTCTGAGAAAAGTGATTCCCCTCCCTGCCGTGCCTCTCCTTACCTAGTGTGAATTCCAGGAAGGCGTTTGTGCCACTGAGCTATGTCTCTGGCCCACACATCAAATAAGTACATGTGAGGCAGAGCAGTGCTCTTCAACAGAGCCACTGATGCAACTTTTATTTATTTATTTATTTTTGGTATCAGGAATCGAACTCAGGACCTTGTGCTTGCCAGGCAGGCACCTGTGCCACTGAGCTATATCCCCGGCCCCCTAGTGTGAATTCCACAGCTCTTCATAATCCTTCTGCTCTGTATTCATCCTCAGCCCCTGGGCCCTTTGTCTTGCTGCATTGAATTTAACTGACAAAGTCTCCGTGGACAGCTAACCGCCCGCCTGCGGGTGTGCGGCTCACAGTGACTAGAGAAAGCCATTCAACTGGTGCCTCTTTGTATTGTTTCAGGGGGTGCTGGGGGCTGAACTCAGGGCCTTGTGCATGCTAAACACACTTTACCACTGAAATTTATAGCTCCAGTGTGTCATTTAAAACTCAAAATTACAGGAAAAAATCCTTCCCTCTGTTTACTCAGTCTCAATGTCAAGATAGCCGTTTCCTCCTTTCTCCATTTCCTCAAACTTCCAGCACCTCTTCTCCCGTCTCTGCTTTCAGTTGAGGCTTCCTACCTGACCACGGGGAAGAAGCAGTCGATGAAACAGCTGACTCCGTCTTCTCACCCCTTACAGATTGGTGTTCCCGCAGCCCGACTCCTGGCCGGCAGTGTCAGCACGGGGGGAGCGTGTCCCGCGTGCACGTCCTTGGGCCCCAACCCAGACCCAGAGAGTCAGAAGTACTGTGGGGGGTGCCCAGCAAGCTGTGCTTTGCGAGATTCTCCCTGGTGTGTGAGAAGCAGTGCCCTTATTGCGCCCTCTTCTGCCCCGAGCAACCCCGCCACTGCACCTGAGCTGTCCCTGCAACGCGGAAGAACGGCTCCATTGTCTCTCTCTCAGCTGCTGCAGCTCACTCATATGGGAGCATCTTGGTGTGCAAGCATGCTGTTGTTTCTCCCATTTCCTCCACCAGTTACTGTCTGTCTCTCCTCTCTTTCTTCCCTCCCCCTCTCTCCCTTCCTTCATTCCTTTCCTTCCTTCCAGAGACAGGATCTCACTATATTGTCCAAGCTGGCTCCATATTCCTGAGCTCAGGAGATCCTCCTGCCTCAGCCTCCTGAGTAATTGGCACAACAGGTGCGTACCACCACACCCATCTTACCCATTTCTTTATTCTTTGAAGCAAAATCCTAAAGAGAAGTTGCTATTCACTGATTCCATTTCTCTCCTTTTAGTTTACTGGTTTGATTTTTGATTTTTTTTTTTTTTTTTTTTTTTTGGTTTTTCTCCGGTACCGGGAACCGAACTCACGACCTTGCGCTTGCCAGGCAGGCGCTTTTGCCGCTGAG